GCTCCGGGGGGGGACACACCAGCTGCCGGAGGGGGAGGAGGGAGTCAGGGAGAAAGGGAGGGGGGAGACGAAGTTGGGTCGGTCCCCACCGGAAAGTTGGGCGCCTTCAGGTGCCGGCACCACGCAGGACCGGGACCGCCCCGCGCCGCACCGTGGCCCCGGCTCACCCTTCACGGGGGACCTTTTGCTGCCGGAGACGCGTTTGCTCCGGCAGCCTCTCCCCGTCTGCCCAGGACATTGGAGCTGGACAGCAGGGCCCGGGGAGGGCTGAGTCCCGACGGGGCGGAGGGGAGCCCGGGCCGAGCACTGCCGGGGTGCTGCCGAGTTGCCCCCAAATCTCTCCGTTCGCCGGCCGGAGAAGCTGCATCGTATAAAACGCTTTTATGAGGCCAAGCCTCCCTGGGCATTCAGGCTTTAGGCCGTGGGAGAAATCTCGGGTTCCCGGGGAAGTTCTTCCTCCCGATGCAGCGGGTACTGCTGCTGGGCCTGTTTTTCGGGGGGAGGAGGGGGGCACAGGGGCGTCCCGCTCCCCTGCTTGGATTTACCGCCGAGGAGCAGCAGCGTGGCTACCGCTACTCGTGTACAGCTTCTGATGCTGGAGGATTTATTTCATTTTTCATTTGCTGTATCCCTTTTCTTTGCTTTTTTTAAAAAATACATTTTATTTTATTTCATCCCTGTTTATTATTTTTTAATTTTCTTTCTTTCTTTTTTTTTGTTTTCTTTTTTTCTTTTTTAATTTTTTTTCCCTCACATTAATTCTTCCCTTCTGCTCCCTGCCTTCCCGTGAATAATTATTTCCTTGGGGTTTGTTGTTTGTTTTTTGTGTTTTGTTTTGCTTTTTTTTTTTCCCGTATCACCCTGGAAGTGAAACGCGTTTTAGGCCTCAGCCTTAAGGAAACCCGAATCATAGCAGTGCAGGTGGCCTGAGAGCCCGTACCTGGCCGGATCCCCTCGACGTGCCTCCACCCCCGGCCCTCGGCCGCGCAGCACCTCGCCCCGCCGAGTGAGGAGGGTCCGGGACAGTCCCCGCCTGGGCCTCGGCCCCGACGGCCGGAGAGAAAAGAGCAGCCGGGGGTGAGACGCCGCCGCTTTGCCTTTTCGGCGCCGGGGCTTGCTCAGAGGCGGCTTTTAATTGCTAAGCAAAGCGACGCGTTTCCCTCACGCCCGTCGGGAGCTGCCGCTTCTTTGCCAAGCCCCGATGGTGGGGAGAAAAGAAAAAAAAAACAAAAGAAGCACAACCCCAAAAAACAATTAGGAGAAGATGCAGCTCGAGGCGGCGAGGCGCGGGGGGTTACTCCAGGTTGGCTAAAAATAACTTCTCCTAATTAAAGAAAAGTGACGTCAGACGTGCAGGACGTAGAAGAGGGGAAGGCAGCGGACTCTTTACTGGGCGATCACGTTAAATAATTCAGGGGCGGCCCGGTGAC